CTTGTCAGAGTTTTGTTGAAAGAGAACCGACATTTAGGAGCAGCATTTGCTAGGAGGCTTAGGATAGATGGGCCTGCTCGCAGAGCTGCCCACAAGTGCCCACATCTGCTTCCAAGCAAGCACATCCCGGGGACTGACCTGGAACAGAGCCACCTGGCCCGGGAGCTGCTTTTCCGAAATTCCTCTGCACCTGACTTTGAGAATCCTCTCGGCCGTCTGGTGCCCTGGGCCCAGCTCCTAGCTCAGCCATGTGTGCAGCCAAGAGTCTGGGGACACAGGAACCACTTGCCCCATCCATTCATATCCAGAGCCTGAACCAGTAGGGTGGAGGAAGCTCCGGCCTCTGTGGGGAGTCCTAGGGCAATGAGTCCTTGCTCTCAGCCCCATTTCCCCTTCTAAGGAAATTATGGAAAACTAAGATTTCTCTTTGAAACCTCTCAAGGCGCAACTGCCCTGAACCCTGAGCTGGGGCAGCATCCTTGGCATCTGCGCACACCTGTGACTCTTGCCTGGGTTTCAGAGCCCTCAGCCCTGCGCCGACTCAAGCATCCTGACCATACTCTCTAGTTCTCCTGCTGTAGGAATGGCCACACTTGTTTTCTGTGTAAAACTTAAAATGTTTGTATTAGACTGAGCTCTCTGTGATACTTAGAAAATAAGATAGTAAGAAAATTAAGATGCTTTGGTGGTCTAAATACTTGTGAAGTAGGTTTTTTTTTTAATATTACAAAATGCCTTAAAGAGTATCAAGTAAATTTAAGAGAGGATCTACTGGATTTTCACTAACTGCTTAAAAAAAAAAAAAAGTTAATTTTGATCCACCATGCCTTACCGTGAGCTGTAACAGTAATCTCATAGCTGCTGCACTCAACGATTTGTTTCGTTCTGTTGTTTAAAAACAGGGATTCATTCAGTTGCATAGGAGATGAATTCTGTCATTAGGAACTTTGCCATCAGGCTTAAGAAATATATTTATAACTCATTTCTTTCAGGAACCAGGTTTCAAGGTCTCCATAAGCAGTCTTTTATTAAGATAAATCACAGCTTTGTCAGTTTCTCCAGAAGCACTCTATTTTTAATTCCCAAGGAGGATCACAATAATAAAAATAAATTAACCTAGTAGATTATTTTCTTTCTAATGACACCTGTTTTTATTAATAGAATTCCAGTCTACATATTTCTTGGGCTTCCCTGGTGGTTCAGGTGGCAAAGAATCTGCCTGCAATGCAGGAGACCTGGGTTCAGCCCCTGGGTTGAGAAGACCCCCTAGAGAAGGGAATGGCAACCTATTCCAGTATTCTTGCCTAGAGAACTCCATGAACAGAGGAACTTGGAAGGCTATAGTCCATGGAGTCACAAAGAGTTGGACACAACTGAGCAACTAACACACATATTTTTTTTACTATTTGCTTAGTAGAAGCAATCATTCATAGAATTTTATAGCATTTTATAAAGAACTTTTAGTGCCTTTTTTTTTTTTTAGCTGCACTAGGTCTTAATTGCCACACATGGGATCTTTAATTGTGGCATGCAAGCTCTTACTTGCAGTGTATGAAATCTAGTTCACTGACCAGAGATTGAACCCAGGCCCCTGCTTTGGGAGTAGCCACTGGATCACCAGGGAAGCCCTCTAAAGAACTCTTAAAGTAAAACTTTTTGGATGTTCACAGCAGCTCTGGGCAGTCTTAGTAGTGATACTGTTCTGCATTCTTTTTATTATTATTATTAATTGGAGGCTAATTACTTTACAATATTGTAATGGTTTTTGCCATACATTGACATGAGTCAGCCATGGATTTACATGTGTTCCCCAACCCGATCCCCCTTCCCACCTCCCTTCCCATCCTATCCCTCTGGGTCTTCCCAGTGCACCAGCCCTGAGCACTTGTCTCATGCATCCAACCTGGGCTTATGATTTGTTTCACCCTTGATAGTATACTTGTTTCAGTGCTATTCTCTCAGAACATCTCACCCTCACCTTCTCCCACAGAGTCCAAAAGTCTGCTGTGTACATCTGTGTCTCTTTTTCTGTTTTGCATATAGGGTTATCGTTACCATCTTTCTAAATACCATATATATGGGTTAGTATACTGTATTTGTCTTTATCTTTCTGGCTTACTTCACTCTGTATAATGGGCTCCAGTTTCATCCATCTCATTAGAACTGATTCAAATGAATTCTTTTTAAAGGCTGAGTAATATTCCATTGTGTATATGTACCATAGCTTCCTCATCCATTCATCTGCTGATGGGCATCTAGGTTGCTCCCATATCCTGGTTATTATAAACAGTGCTGCGATGAACATTGGGGTGCACGTGTCTTTTTCAGATCTAGTTTCCTCAGTGTGTATGCCCAGAAGTGGGATTGCTGGGTCATATGGCAGTTCTATTTCCAGTTTTTTAAGGAATCTCCACACTGTTCTCCATAGCGGCTGTACTAGTTTGCATTCCCACCAACAGTGTAAGAGGGTTCCCTTTTCTCCACACCCTCTCCAGCATTTATTTATTGCTTGTAGACTTTTGGATAGCAGCCATCCTGACTGGTGTATAATGGTACCTCATTGTTGTTTTGATTTGCATTTCTCTGATAATGAGTGATGTTGAGCATCTTTTCATGCGTTTGTTAGCCATCTGTATGTCTTCTTTGGAGAAACATCTGTTTAGTTCTTTGGCCCATTTTTTGATTGGGTCATTTATTTCTCTGGAATTGAGCTGCAGGAGTTGCTTGTATATTTTTGAGATTAATCCTTTGTCTGTTGCTTCATTTGCTATTATTTTCTCCCATTCTGAAGGCTGTCTTTTCACCTTGCTTACAGTTGCCTTTGTTGTGCAAAAGCTTTTAAGTTTCATTAGGTCCCATTTGTTTATTTTTGCTTTTATTTCCAATATTCTGGGAGGTGGGTCATAGAGGATCCTGCTGTGATGTATGTCAGAGAGTGTTTTGCCTATGTTCTCCTCTTGGAGTTTTATAGTTTCTGGTCTTACATTTAGATCTTTAATCCATTTTGAGTTTATTTTTGTGTATGGTGTTAGAAAGTGTTCTAGTTTCATTCTTTTACAAGTGGTTGACCAGTTTTCCCAGCACCACTTGTTAAAGAGGTTGTCTTTTTTCCATTGTATATCCTTGCCTCCTTTGTCAAAGATAAGGTGTCCATAGGTGTGTGGATTTATCTCTGGGCTTTCTGTTTTGTTCCACTGATCTATATTTCTGTCTTTGTGCCAGTACCATACTGTCTTGATGACTGTGGCTTGGTAGTAGAGCCTGAACTCAGGCAGGTTGATTGCTTCAGTTCCATTCTTCTTTCTCAAGATTGCTTTGGCTATTCGAGGTTTTTCTTATTTCCATACAAATTGTGAAATTATTTGTTCTAGTTCTCTGAAAAATACCATTGGTAGCTTGATACGGATTGAATTGAATCTATAGATTGCTTTGGGTAGTATAGTCATTTTGACAATATTGATTCTTCCAATCCATGAACACGGCATATTTCTCCATCTATTTGTGTCCTCTTTGATTTCTTTCATCAGTGTTTTATAGTTTTCTATATATAGGTCTTTCGTTTCTTTAGGTAGATATACTCCTAAGTATTTTGTTCTTCTTGCAATGGTGAATGGTATTGTTTCCTTAATTTCTCTTTGTTTTCTCATTGTTAGTGTATAGCAATGCAAGGGATTTCTGTGTGTTAATTTTATATCCTGCAACATTACTGTATTCATTGATTAGCTCTAGTAATTTTCTGGTAGAGTCTTTAGGGTTTTCTATGCAGAGGATCATGTCGTCTGCAAACAGTGAGAGTTTTACTTCTTCTTTTCTTATCTGGATTCCTTTTATTTCTTTTTCTGCTCTGATTGCTGTGGCCAACACTTCCAAAACTGTGCTGAATAGTAGTGGTGAGAGTGGACACCCTTGCCTTGTTCCTGACTTTAGGGGAAATGCTTTCAATTATTCACCATTGAGGATAATGTTTGCTGTGGGTTTGTCATATATAGCTTTTATTATGTTGAGGTATGTTCTTTCTATTCCTGCTTTCTGGAGAGTTTTTATCATAAATGGATGTTGAATTTTGTCAAAGGCTTTTTCTGCATCTATTGAGATAATCATATGGTTTTTATCTTTCAATTTGTTAATGTGGTGTATTACATTGATTGATTTGCAGATATTAAAGAATCCTTGCATTCCTGGGATAAAGCCCACTTGGTCATGATGTATGATCTTTTTAATGCATTGTTGCATTGTTTGCTTGAACCCGTGTCCTCCCTGAGGGACACAGGTGGCCAAGCAAGTAGATGCTACCCCAGCATTCAGACCGCAGGCCAGACTTGATGTGCAGTCTCCTTCCAATGATGTCCTCTTTTAACTGTTCCTCTGGTAAATTCAATACTGTTTTCCTTGGAGCATGTGTTTAAAGGGAAATCCTAGATGTGTTCAAACATGACTGCTCAGTCTCTATTTTCTGTTTTCAAATGCCTGGTTCCCATGCTTGATGAAGCTCAATTAAAAAAAAAAAAAAAACTGTCCCAAGTATTCATTGTATAGATTTCCATGCCTGGGGAAACACAATGTGGAAACTGAATCTGAGATCATTTTAAATAAACATATGAGTTCTTATAAGATACTGCTTCTTTCATTAATGCTTCTGATTTATGTAGTAGTGCCATCCCCATTTATGTAATGGAGCCAATCTCAGCACCCTCACCTGAATATGACAGGTATTTCTTTATTTTCCTGTGTGTAAGACTCCTTTAGTATGCCTAAAAATATAAATGTGCTTGTGTCCTATTGCATTCAGCCTTCTTTGATTCCAAGTTAAGAGCCACTGGGTGAATTCACCTCTAGCTCTATTATGTTTTTAAATCAAGTATCAGATAACATTCCTGTGTATGTGGTATTATCTTTCTCTAATAAATCAAATCCTTTATGATACTTGCTCACCTCCTATAGATGGACTGTAGTGATCTTTGTAAGTCTTTGTTTATATCATGTGTTTTCTCCCCACCTAGAGTAAAAGAAGCTGAAGAGGTGTGTAGACAGAAGAAGGGAAAGTCACTCTATAAAATAAAACCAAGACATGACTCTGGAATTGTAAGTTTTTATTCTGTTTTTTGATTTGTGGTTTTCTCTGGCTTTTAAACACTCTTTTCTCAGAATATACAAATCCACCTAATAACATTTTAATCATCTTCCTCTTAAGTTTGAACAAATAGTAAGCATCCGACTTAGAGAATCTCCTTTTCCTTCTGCCTGTAATCAGGTTCCAGAGGCTAAAAGAATCTCGGTGTTCACCATTCAAAGCCTAACCATCAGGATGGGTTCACTGAGGGGGTGCATATATGTGGGGGGCTTCTGGTGGAGTTGGGGGCCAATTTCACTCTCCTCATCATACATGGGTCACAGCACAGCTGTTGTAATCCCATGAGCACCCTTGGGGCCTAACACAGGGAGTGCCAGGTGCAGCATTGTTCTTTGCTGAGACCAGGGGTTCAGGCTGCACAGCAGCTGTCAGCCCACAGCCAAGTGTAGCAAGCCAAGCTGTTCCTCTTGGCTCGTTTCTCCCTTCAAAATAAAACACCAGGTTGTGCACCAGGAAGGGAAGGGTTTGGTGGACATGATGAGTCCGTGTGATACTGTCTTATGTTTTGTTGAATGTTTTGAGGGATTATCACTTGGCACTACAGAGTAAGTAAATGTTATTTTAAGTGAAAAGTTGGGTTAGACCTTAAAATAGCATTTTGAATTGAGTTCGTCTAATATAGTGTAAATGGAAGATATTCAAATAATCCAAATTGGGCCACAATTAAACAGCTTTATTTAGAAAAAGTTAGAAACTATATCTGCATTTAAAAGATATTTTCCCTTCTGTTTCTCTGTATCAAAATCTTATTGAACAACAAATATTATATTATGGTTTGGTTTATGTTCTTTTTGATGAAAGTAAATCTTCCAGTACATGTATAGAATGAGAAGGAATAGTTATTTACTAACCACAGTTATGCTATATGTTATAAGGATAGAAGAGAATTAAATCACATTAACAATGAGATGAAAGTGTGTTAGTCACTCAGTTGTATCCAACTCTTTGCAACACCATGGACTATAGCCAGCCAAGCTCCTCTATCCATGGAATTCTCCAGGCAAGAATACTGGAATGGGTCACCATTCCATTCTCCAGGGGATCTTCCCGACCCAGGGATCGAACCCAGGTCTCCCACATTGTGGGCAGATTCTTTACCATCTGAGTCATAGAAGAGAATTAAATCACATTAACAATGAGATGAAGCCTCGGTTCAATTTTCATATTTATGTGTTTGTACATAAGACTGAAAATGAGAAAGGTGAGCTGATACTCTTTCACATCGATTAGAAGCTAAGTTTTTAAACCTTTTTTCCCCTCAAAAACATTAGTGAAAATTCTAAGAGAGAAATCGATTTTACTTACATCTTTTTAAATTTATGAGCTTGTGGATATTTAACCTTTTCTCAAAGAATTTGATCCAAATGAAAATACTATTCTAAACTCCATACATTCTTTAAAGTCATTCCTTCTAACTATTTCTCTTACCTGATGCATTTATTTCAGAAAGCAAAAATAAGCATGAAAACCTGACCAGTGAAAAGCAGAACAAAAATGAGTCACTGAAGCCACTTCCACAGAATTCAGCCGGCCTGAGGGCAGGAAGGAAACTCATCATTTTGATCATGTTTCTTCTTGGCCTCTTGCATAATCTTTATGTTTTCCAGACAGTTTACTGATTGTTGAATTCTACACTGTATTCATATAAAAATGCAAAAGCAGTAGGCCAGTGGAGAATGTGACACCTTTTCTTTTTGAAAAAGTTTATGGTATTTTACCAATAGACCAAAACAGCATGTGTAAGAGGCAGTATCTGCATTAATTCTGAACATGCTAAACAGTAACCTCCAACTTACTGTTGTGAGAATATTCCCTGTCACAGCGAAACACTCTCCTGACGACCAGTACTCCACCTCACTGCATTTAGATTTATGGTTAACATGTTATTTCTAGTGACTTGTTTGTATCAGTTTCACATCTACATAAAAAATTTTCTATTTTAAAATTGAGGTACCATTTATATATGTCATAGATAAGGCTTTCCCAGCTCTAGGGTTGGTCTCTGTAACTATATATTTGTGAAAGAAGATTATCATTTTTTTTATTCATCAGACAATGAATAGAAAAAATATAGCAAAAGGAAAACCCTTTCTATACATCATTTAATATAGGCAGGAATCATAATTTTAAGGTAAATGAGGGCCTTTATCAACCATGTCCTTTAGGACCTACATAAAGCCTGTCTGCAGCAAAGGTTAATTAAACCAAAATTGTGCCTCTCTAACTTTTACCATTGCCCTTCTCAAAGAAAATGACACAGTGCTTTTAAATGATCCTCATAAAATTTCCAAACCTGACAGCTGTTGGCAAAAAAAAAAAAAAAAAAAAGAGTAACTTTTAGATGGATTTATATCTACTTAGGACTTGTTCATTAAACCCACCTGCCTGAGTATTGTGACTTGATTGGGGTTTTCTTTATGTGTTTGGGCAGTTAATCAAAAGCTATGAAATGAGTATGCAAGAGTTTATGATCTAAAGGAGCCTAGGAAAAGATTTTATTTTAGTTTGAGAGGGAAAAAGTATATCTCCACTCTTTCTCAGAGTATTTTAAAGTCACTCCTGAAGCATTGTGATGGCTTTGTCTAACATTAATAGATTTTTAAAAATGATACGTGTTGGGGTATGAATAAAGGGGAGACTGTTGCTATTGCAAACCAATTATGGAAGCAACTTAAAAAGAAAATCTGAATTGTAATTATGTTTCTATTTATGTAAAATACTGTCCTGACCTTTCAGTCTGTAGTTGATGTGCACAGACACAGTAGTGGCTCTCGGGTTGCTGTTCTGCCATCTTCCTGTCTCCTTCAGTCCCTCCATGTGTATATGAACTTCAATGATATAATGGGGCATTTAACAGAGATTGCTATGTGCAATACTGTATTTAGTGTTTCTATTTTAATTTTTCTAGGATGTTAATTTATATGAAAATAAAATGCATAATAAAAGAGCTCTGTGCCTATTGTGTATATATAACCTAAAAGCACATGCTAAATATTTATCCCAGAGGGGAATTAAGTTAGAGCATCTGTGTCCAAAGAGTTTTGGAAGTTCTTATTTCAGGCTGAACAGTTATTAGTGAATAGTGAAAGTCGCTCAGTTGTGTCTGACTCTGCAAATGCATGGACTATACGGTCCATGGAATTCTCCAGGCCAGAATACTAGAGTGGGTAGCCGTTCCCTTCTCAAGGGGATCTGTCCAACCCAGGGATCGAACCCAGGTCTCCTGCATTGCAGGTGGATTCTTTACCAGCTGAGCCACCAGGGAAGCCTGAACAGTTACTAGCAGTTAAGTATTTAACAAAGGCTGGTTTGTAAAGATAAAAAAATAATTCTGCTACATCAAAACATATTTTTTTAAGTTCAAATTTTCTTAATGAAGTTTTAGAGAAGAAGTACTTCCCCCTTTTGGAAATACCAGTATGTTAATACCTAAGAAGTCTTTTTTCTATAAGTTACAAATTAGTTGCAAAAATTCATATGATATAGATTAAATGGTGATAAAAATTGAATTGATCTCAGTGAGGCAGCAGTGAGTGGTGGCATGAAGTGAGACCTAATTCCCTGCCCAGGAACTGAACCTGGGTAGCCTGAACAAAAACAGGAATCCTAGCCACCAGGCCAGCAAGGGCTAGAGGTTAGAAGCTAATTTTCCCTGGATCTTTGCCCCCAGTGAAAAATGCATTTATCATGGAGGCAGAAACTGTAAATGCAGGTACAAGGTTTATTATTAGAGACACAGCACAGCAACACGTGGGAAAGAACATAGAGAAACAGTTGGTTTAGTTAAGACAGAAGCAAGACAGAGATACACACCTGGAGAGAAAGGTTATGGGTGCCCCCCTAGTGAGAAGGAGCACAATAAAGAGGTGGTTAAGTCATTTACATAGGCCAGTTCTTCTGTGTCTTTGTCTTCCTTTCTGCCAATTTTCTGGTTTCTTTTTTCACATCTGACCTATTCTGGGACTCTCCCCTGGTGTGCACACACTCCCCAGCTAAGATGGATCTCAAAGTGGAGGCTTCTGGGAGAAGCAAGACTCATTATGGTCTGGCATTTTCACAGGACTTTTGACCCACAAGGAGCCTTTCTGCAATGTGTAGTGTTTCCCTTGTCCCAAAAGGGGGTAGGGGGAGGGAAGATCTCTTAATCCTTCACTAGAGCAGGATTTTGTCCCTCTTTGTCCTTGCCATGACTATTAAAGTGTTTATAAGAGACAAACACTGGCTATTTACCCTCTTTCTGTTGTTACTTCCATTTCAGAGGGCAAACAGGAGGCTGATTGTAAATGCCTCAACTGGAGCCCACCTATCTCTTGTCTCAGGAAATGTAAACAGGAGGCTAGTTGTAAATGTCTAACCTGGAGTCCACCTATCTCCTACATCAGCATTATGGGAAGACAATAAGGCAGAGAACATTATGGTGCAAAGAGATGGATATAGACAAGGAAATAGAAGGAAAAAAAGGAAGCATTATGCTAATAGAAAAGCATTATGGAAGCTAATAAAAAAAAAAAAAGCTAATGGAAAAGACTTTCTTTTTCTCCATAAATTATCTTTGAATTTATGTCTAATTTAATTTTTCAGCATAAATTTTTCATCACCTATACGTTGGCTTGTCATTTACTTTGGGCCAAGGCCTGGTGCTCACAACTGGTATTTCAAAATGAAAAGAAAGAGGGAGAAATGGGTAAAGGGCCCACTGTGTGGTGAGGAACTGAAACTAAAATTTTGGCGGTGAGCATGCTGTGTGTGAAGTCGACATACAAGGCACATGTGAGAGTTATGTAATATAAATCACTGTTACCACAATAAAAATAATTTGAAAAATTAAAAAGGAAAACTGAATATCAAGTTGGGGTGGGGAGGAGTGTACAGCAGCGATTAAATTCATTGTAATGCCCAGTTCAAAGAGTACAAAATAATAAATTCAGAGGGATGAGGACGATGTGAGGGCTGGGGAGAAGAGGGGTCTCTGGGGGCACAGGGCTTCACTTTTCTCAGTACCTGCAACCAGGTGAGCCTGATGGAGGGAAGACGGTGCAGAGGGGAAAGGATGACGAGAGATGTCACCAGAGATGCAGAACAGGACTTTGTGGCAGGAACTAAGGTAAGTTTGTTATGGTTTGGGGTGGGGAGTGCCCAGAGGTCACGTGGGGGCAAGGGGGGAGGGGACAGGGGCACTGACATGATACAAGAGCCTGTTTCAAGTCCCATCTTAAAAGTTCCAAATGGGTATTTGGTGGAAATGATTAAACATTTCTAAGGAGGGTAACAAGCTGCAGAAAGAGCATGGCAACCGGAAGCCAAAGAGCCTGCCGCCCCCCTTGGAAGAACTGGCCCCACGGATGACAGGAGGTGGTGAGGGGCTGAGCAGAGCAAACCTAAAGGATGATGAGCATCCTGCAGCATCACTCTCAGCAGTGGCAGGACCCGTGTTCCAGGTGACCCAGGCCACCCTGCTGCAGCATGGAGGACGGGGTCTGTAGCTTAAAGGGGCAGTTGTGGCTCAAAGCAGGAATGGATGCAGGTAAGGCACTACCAGTACAGGTGGAATCTGGATGAAGAAGAGACATGGTAAGGAGGTAACACACATGTGAGGGCTTCTTGAATTGTCAGATGTAAGAAACAGGAAAGCAGAATGAACTTACCATGACAGGCTGGTCTCTGGACTGTTATTTGGCAAAGCCTGGCTCCTGGCATCAATGAGGCCACATAGGAAAGGGGTCCATCAAGTTCCTTCACAACCATTAGCACCTGGAGAACCTTCTCTGCTGAGCCCACTAAAAAAAGCAGCTCTCTGAGCCTTCATCCCCTTATTTAATTAGTTAGTTAATACTAGTCGCTCAGCTGTGTTCAACTCTTTGCGACCCCATGAACTGTGGCCTGCCAAGCTCCTCTGTCCATGGAATTCTCCAGGCAACAATACTGGAGTGGGTAGCCATTCCTTTTTCCAGGGGATCTTCTCGACCCAGGGATCAAACCCAGGTCTCCTGCATGGCAGGCAGATTGTTTACCATCTAAGCCACTAGGGAAGCCCCAAACCCTACAACACCCAGTATTCCCAGGTGATCTCCTATCCAAGTACTAACTAGGCCCAACCCTACCTTAGCTTCCAAGACCAGAAGCAATGCAATGCATTCAGGGTATTATGGCTGTAGACTGGCTTCATTCTCTGCAGGGCACTTATCACCATCTGAAGTAATACAGTTGTAACAGGGCTGGGGCAGGTGGAGCTGCAGTGCCAAACAGCCACTGGTCAGCATTGCAGGGGGCACCAACACCTCCCCTTGTGTATAAATTGAGTCTGAGAAAAGATGGATCGAGTGGCTAGTCTGCCATCTTCTTGGTCTGCTAGCTTTCCAATTAAAATCATTATTCCTTGTTCCAACACTTTCTCTCTCAACTTATTGGCCTGTTGTGCAGTGAGCAGAATGAGCTTGGGCTCTGTAACATGTCCTGCTCTTCTGGTCTGTGCA